ATATATAATATATATATTATATAATATATATATTATATAATATATATATTATATAATATATATTATATATATATATATTTTAAAGAAGACTGCAGGGAGGGGCATACCTTTTGGAGCCCCTGAATCATGACATGTGAGTCATGGGTACTGTCTATGAATGACAGCAGCCCTGCTAGGGGGCAGAACAGCACAGCTCTCCAGATACCCTGAGCTGTTCTAAATCACCAAGTGCTCTGCGTGAAAATGCTTGGGTGCTGGGTGTGTTCTGTGATGCAGCCCCTCACCTGGCTAAGCTGTGTTCTCTAAGTTTAGCTCTTTATCATGCAAGTGAGTGTATTTGAGCACATAATAAAGAGGCACATAGAAATGTGTGGACTGGGGAGTATTTACCGGCACCCCACAGTGGGGTTCTCCAACCTGAAAGTTTCAATCACTGGGGAATCTCAGTGAAATGCAGATTCCCATTCCATAGTTGAGACAAGCCGAGAACCTGTTTCTCTGCTAGGCTGTTAGATGATATGGATGCTGGTGGACCACGCTTGGAGCAGGGCTTCTCATCTTTGGCTGCAGACTCCCGTCTGTATTAGTCCATTTTCACACTGCTATAAAAAACTACCTGAGGCTGGGTAATTTATAAAGAAAAGAGGTTTTATTGGCTCATGGTTCCACAAGTTGTGCAGCAAGCATGGCTAGGGAGGTCTCAGGAAACTTACAATCATGGAGGAAGGAAAAGAGGAAGGAAGGAAAAGAGGAGGGTCTTAAATGGCCAGAGCAGGAGGAAGAGGGCACAGTGGGGAGGTACTACACACTTTTAAGCAACCAGATCTCATGAGAACTCACTATCAGAAGAACAGCAAGGAGGAAATCCACCTCCATGATCCAAAAACCTCCCACCAGGCCCTTCCTCTGATATGGGGATTACAGTTCAACAGGAGATCTGGGCAGGGACACAAAACCAAACCACATCAACATCTCTGAGGAGTTTGTAGACATCTTAATGCTTGCTATGGTTTGGCTATGTCCCCACCAAAATCTCATCTTGAATTGTAGTTCCCATAATCCCCACGTGTCATTGCGAGGAACCCAGTGGGAGGTAACTGAATCATGGGGGCGGTTACCTCCATGCTATTCTCATGATAGTGAGTTCTCATTAGATCTAATAGTTTTATAAGAGGCTTTTACCTGTTTGCTTGCTTGGCGCTTCTCCTTCCTGCCGCCATGTGAAGGATGTGTTTGCTTCCCTTTCTGTCATGATTGTAAGTTTCCTGAGGCCTCCCAAGCCCTTCAGAATTGTGAGTCAATTAAACTTCTTTCCTTTATAAATAACCCAGTCTTGGGTATGTCTTTATAATAGCATAAGAATGGACTAATAGTAAATTGGTCCTGGGTAGTGGGGCACTCCTATAAAGATACCTGAAAATGTGGAAGTGACGTTGGAACTTGGTAACAGGCAGAGGTGGGAACAGCTTGGAGGGCTCAGAAGAAGACAGGAAGATGTGGGAAAGTTTGGAACTTCGTGGAGATTTGTTGAATGGCTTTGACCAAAATGCTGCTAGTGATGTGGACAATGAAGTCCAGGCTGAGGTGGTCTCAGATGGAGATGAGGAACTTCTTGGGAACAAGAATAAAGGTGACTTTTGCTCTGATTTAGCAAAGAAACTGGTGGCATTTTGCCCCTGCCCTAGAGATTTGTGGAACTTTGAACTTGAGAGAGATAATTTAGGGTACTGGTGAAAGAAATTTCTAAGCAGCAAAGCATTTGAGATGGGACAGAGCGAAAAAGTTTGGAAAATTTGCAGCCTGATCATGTGGTAGAAAAGAAAAACCCATTTTGGGGGGAGAAATTCAAGCTGGCAGCAGAATTTGGATAAGAAACAAGGAGTTGAATGTTAATCACCAAGACAATGGGAAAAATGTCTTCAGGACATGTTGGAGACCTTTGCAGGAGCTTCTCCCATCACAGGCCCAGAGGTCTAGGAGGAAAAAAATGGTTTCCTGGGTCAGGTCCCGGACCCCCGTGCTGTGTGCAGCCTGTGGACTCTACCCTAGCCACTCCAACCATAGCTAAAAGGGGCCAAGGTACAGCTCAGGCTGTGCCTTCAGAGAGTGCAAGCCCCAAGCATTGGCAGCCTCCACGTGGTGTTGGTCCTGTGGGTGCACAGAAGACAAGAACTGAGATTTGGGAACCTCTGCCTGGATTTCAATAGATGTTTGGAAATGCCTGGATGTTCAGGCAGAAGTTTTCTTCAGGGGTGGAACCCTCATGGAGAACCTCTGTTAGCGCAGTGTAGGAGGGAAATGTGGGGTCAGAGCCCCCACACAGAGTCCCCACTGGGGCACTGCCTATTGAAGCTGTGAGAAGAGGGCCACTGTCCTTCAGACCCCAGAATGGTATGCTCAGAAAAGCTGCAGACACTCAACACCGCCTGTGAATGCAGCTGGGACTGGGGCTGTACCCTGCAGAGCCATAGGGGTGGAGCTGCCCAAAGCTGTGGGAGACTATCTCTTACATCAGTGTGACCTGGATGTGAGACATGGAGTCAAAGGAAAATATTTTGGAACCTTAAGGTTTAATGACTGACCTATTAGATTTTGGACTTGCACAGGGCCTGTAGCCTATTTGTTTTGGCCAATTTCTTCCATTTGGAACAGGTGTATTTACCCAATGCCTGTACCCCCATTGTATCTAGGAAATAAGTAACTTGCTTTTGATTTTACAGACTCATAGATGGAAGAAACTTGCCTTGTCTCAGATGAAACTTTGGACTTGCACTTTTGAGTTAATGCCGGAATGAGCTAAGACTTTAGGGAGCTGTTGGAAAGGCATGATTGTGTTTTGAAATGTGAGAACATGAGATTTGGGAGGGACTAGGGGCAGAAGGATATGGTTTGGCTGTGTCCCCACCTAAATCTCATCTTGAGTTGTGGTTCCCATAATCCCCACATGTTGTGGGAGGGACCTAGTGAGAAGTAATTGAATCACGGAGGCGGTTACCCCTATGTTGTTCTTGTGATAGTGATCTCACGAGATCTGATTCTTTTATAAGGGGCTTTTCCCCCTTTGCTTGGCACCTGTCCTTCCTGCTGCCATGTGAAGGATGTGTTTGTTTCCCTTTCTGTCATGATTGTAAGTTTCCTGAGGCCTCCCCAGCCCTACAGAACTGTGAGTCAACTAAACCTCTTTCCTTTTTAAATTATTCAGTCTTGGGTATGTCTTTATTAGCAGCATGAAAATAGACTAATACAATGTCCCACACCAATGAAAGAATCTCTGAGGGCAGGACCAGGATCTTAGCAGTTCTGCTCCATGATTCTTGCCCAGGATGAGTTGGTGTTGTGTGACAGGCCTGAGTGGGTAACGGGACTGATTCCTACCACTTTGGAAATGAACCAAAAATATCTTGCAACCATCTTTGATAGTGTGTGCTTTAAGAGGGTGAGAATTAAAATGAACAGTTATCTTTAACATTACCAGCTCTGATGCTCCCCAGGACTGATCCAGTCCCTTAGGTCTGGCTTGCATCTGTCAGCCACAGAATCTCAGCTGCAACCCTCATAGAAGTTCTTGCTATTCTCCCTCTGCCCCTGTGCTCCTGTTCTTTACTACACAGCCAGCTGCCCCAGATTCTTCTTGTTAAGGCTAATAGGGCTGTGAGGGGTCTAGGTGAAATAAAACTAGAAGTTTTATCTTCCCAGAGAGGAGGGGTTCTCAACCCTTGCCCACATGAGAACAACCAGAGTCATTCTGATTTAATGGATCTAGGGCAGGGCTCACACCTTAGGGGAGTTTTAAAAGCTCCCTTTTGATCCTAATGTGAAATCAGAGACTGTAAGATAAAATGGAAATTTAAAAATTCAATGTTTGTATTTTCATTGACATTTTTAGAAATGGTTCTGAAAATCAAAGGTGCTATTGAGATGATAAAATGTAGAAATGGCTTTTTTTTTTTTTTGAGACGGATTGTTGCTCTGTCGCCAGGCTGGAGTGCAGTGGTGGCATCTCAGCTCACTGCAACCTCCTGGTTCAAGAGATTCTCCTGCCTCAGCCTCCTGAGTAGCTGGGATTACAGGAATGCATCACCACACCCACCTAATTTTTGCATTTTTAGTAGAGATGGGTTTTACCATGTTGGCCAGGATGGTCTTGATCTTCTGACTTCGTGATCCACCCACCTTGGCCTCCCAAAGTGCTGGAATTATAGGTGTGAGCCACCTCGCCCAGCAGAAATGATTCTCAAAATATACATTTAATGATTTTTCAAAAATGTATTTTTTACAATCTGCATTATCTCCCTCCCATTCTATACTTGGCATTTTTGAGGAAGCCGATGGGCAAAGTGAAGGGACCCTGGAGCTGGATTTGGAGTCCAGCATTCCAGGACAGCGAATTAGGGTGGTATGTTAATTAGGGCAAGGCTAGCAGCTGTAACAAGTAACACTCTAGCCTCCCCAGGTTTAAAGAAGGAGTTTAGGCTCACAGGCCTGTGCAGGCAGGAAGAGCTCGGGGAGGCCCTCCTCTGTGCAGTCAGGCAGGTCCCCAGATGTGGCTCCCAAGGTGGCCTGGGGCCTCTCCTGTAACCTGCAGGGAGGGGAGGGGGAAGAAGGAATGGGGCGGGGTTCCACAGGGAGGGCCTGGCTGGGCGGGGCTACGTGTGCGGCATTGGCCAGAGCTCAGTCACGTGGCCCCTGGCACGTGTGCAGCAAAGGAGGCCGGAGTCCCCGTGGAGGGCGAGTCCCGGAACTGGCCCGAGTAAAGCGTGGGTACCCGGGCCCTGCCAGCCGCTGTGCCTGCCGCCCCCGAAGCTCACACTCCAGGCAGATGGGTCCCGCCGAGGCCCAGAGAAGGTCTGAAGGGTCGTTTTCTTCTTTCCTCCACAGATATCGCAAACGGCACCAGTTCAGGGGGGTACCGCCCGCCTCCCAGAACCAAAGAAGTCATCATCAATGGCCAGACCGTGAAACTTAAGTACTGTTTCACCTGCAAGATTTTCCGGCCCCCTCGCGCCTCCCATTGCAGCCTTTGTGATAACTGCGTAGGTGAGTAGCGCCTGGGCGGAGCCTGGCGGGGCCGGGGCCTGCGGGTGGGCTCTGCACGTCTGCATCCCCGCGCCATGGAACACTCAGTAATGGTTAATATTTCAGCGCGTTTGCCTCTTGCCACTGATCCGGTTCACCTGACCTAGACTCACCAAATCTCTTTTGTGTTCTCTTTACACCCTGCACCGCCCTAGGCCGCGCCTCCCCCAGTACAGGCACCCAAGGCTGGTAGGTCAGCAGGCACTGGAAATAAAACCGTGTCCCACCAGGTCCCTCGATTGCCACGGGGCTGGCCGCACACCTGCGGGAGGCATCCTTGTGCAGGTGTTTGTCCCGATTCCTCAGAGGGGCTGGGTGCTTTAGATCCCCAGCCCTTCTAGGGACAGGAAAAGAGGCAAGGTCTGAGAGACTCCTTCCCCAGGAGCTGGAGTTAAGGTGTGTACACTTCCCGGAGACCACCAGGGCCTCCGCTCTCTGCCTCCCAGCTTCTGCCAGGACAGGCTAGGGAAACAGGCAGAGGGAACTGAGAGTCAGAGGTCTGCAGCTGTAAGGCTGGGCCCCACCACCGGCCCAGCACTGGCCTTCTACAGGTGACCCGGGCCCAGCCCCGTGATTATTTGGCAAGGGCCTCTTGTCACTGCAGACTGAGCGCTGCTCCGCACACCCACAGACCGCCTTCTCTCTGTGGCCTCTGTGGCTGGAACTGTGAGAGATGAGGTTGGCAAGGAGATAGCAGGACACCCAAGTGACAGGAAGGGAAGCAAGAAGAGGACAGAAGCTTTCCCATGGTGGGGAGACTCTCAGCCTGCCTCCAGCGGAAGTGACCAGGGATTCCTGAGAGAATAAGCAATGGAAACCCCGTTACCTGGTACCTGAAAGGATAGAGGCGCACCTCAGAACAAACCTAGTTTCCCTGAGTGACACAGCACTGATCGGCAGCACTCTTCATGAGTCTTAGAATTTGTAGTCTCAATTCTTCTTGAGTGGGTTTATCCCAAGCACAGTAAATAAATGTCACTTTGCATGGGAGAGGAGAAAAGAAAAATGCAGCTTCCCAGGCCGTTCAGAAGAGCAGTTTTTTTTATTAAATAAGTTTGGAAGTCATACGGGCCTCCTTGAGGAAAATAAGATTTTATAATGGATGTCCTGCTGTGCAAAGCGGTCTTCCATTTATTTGTCTTAAATTTACTTTACCCTAACTTTAATAATCTACAGTTTGGCACACAGCTCGTGTTTTCTCTGTCAGGCCTCGTCTTGGTTTTATTAACGTAGGTAAATGACTTTTAGCCCTGCCTCCCCAGCAGAACAGTATGGAATGTGTTCTGTGTCTCCCATGTAGTAAGTAGCTGTCAGTTAAGAGCCTGATATCTGGCACTATGGCCTAGATTCAAATACCAGCTGAGTGACTTAGGCCAGGCACTGAAATGCCCTATGCCTCAGTTTCCTCATTTCTGTGGTGGGGTCGATAAATGCCTGCTGCATGGGATGATGGAGAGAATAAATGAATGAATGGGTGGAAAGAGCCTGGCGTGTGGCAAACGCTGTGTAATTGTCAGCTGCCAGTGCTGTTGTCACTCCTGCTCCCTTGATAGTTTTGATTGGCTTTCTCTGTACAATATCTTGATCTTGTATAAATGCAATGACCAAAGCCACACCTAGTTCTCCATGGGTGGGGAGCATACCAGGATTTCTACAAGGACACACAACAACCTTTGTTTGATTACCGATACCCTTCCTAGTGACACCAGCCACAGTGTCCATTCCACACTGATCTTGGGGACAATTTAAGCTGAAGGAGCACAGCATCATAAATATCTCTGGGGGAACAGTCTCCCTGTAGGAGTTCTCAGGACCCTTTCTTGGGTTGTAATTTTGACCTCCAAGCCTTTGACATGACAGGATAGTCTGTGTCTCACACCTGCGCACGTAAACTGTTCTGTCATCCTGCATGCCTTCTCCTGGAGGGCTCATGCCTTATTCTAGTCCATATTTTGGTAGGTAGGGTATTATCTACAAAACGAAAGGGCCTGCTGGGCACTTCCTTCTCTTTATCATTTATACAACTTTTTACTCATTTCTAAACACCCCAGTGTTTCCACTCATGTATCCTCTGTTTCTTGTCTCTAGGCTAGATTTTTTTTTTTTTTAATTGAGATGGAGTCTCGCTCTGTCACCCAGGTTGGAGTGCAGTGGTACGATCTCGGCTCACTGCAACCTCCACCTCCTGGGTTCAAGTGATTCTCCTGCCTCAGCCTCCCATGGTGGCAGGTGCATGCCACCATGCCTGGCTAATTTTTTTGTATTTTTCTTAGAGATGAGGTTTCATCATGTTCACTAGGTTGGTCTTGAACTCCTGGCCTCCAGTGATCCATCTGCCTTGGCCTCCGGAAGTGCTGGGATTATAGGTGCAAGCCACTACTCCCGGCCTAGGCTAGATTTTTAATCAGAACCAAAACTTTCTTTCCAATTTCCTGTGACTTACTGTTTTAAAATTCCTTTTGGATTATTGTCAGAGATGTTCCAAAAGTTCATATAGTCGCTTGCATTTGTTCCCTCCCATTACCCATAGGTGTACATGTTCCTTAAAGAACCCGGATGAATGAGATTCATCACAAATATCTATGCCTTCCCCTGGTGACGGTGTACTTCTGCATGTATGATAGGGTCCTCTCCTGTGCACTCTACCAGCCATGAACCTAGGAGCCACCAGCCTGTAATAGGCCAGGAGCCAGGCCTCCACCCTTCTGGTACATCAAAGTCATGGTGGCCACTCAGCACCCGCAAGCAAGCATGGTGGTGGCCTATGCATGGGAGACCCAGAACAGGAAAGAGAAAGGGAAAGGAGAGGAAGTGGGGAAGTTTGGGGTGGGGCCTAGAGGCGAAAGACTGGAACCCAGGAGCACACCACAAGCCACAGCCTCTGAGTGGTGCTCAGGGTCAGCTCCATGGGGACAGCTGAAGACATAGTATATGACTGATCTAAAGTAAAGCTGCCCGCAGGGCTCCTCAAGACACCATCCAGTGATTCAAAACTGCATAGCTGCGGTTTTCCAGTTAATTGCGGGACACGGGGGCCTTGGGTGTGACTGATGGGCAGGACAGCGGAGTGGACTTTCTGCGATCAGAAAAATAGAATGGAAGGCAAATGTCTCCCACTGAGAAGTGGAATTGCAGAATTAGCCATGATCTTATTTTTAGATGGAAAGTTTTTACTGAAAGACTTCTTTTTGCAGCAAGGGAAATAGTACAATGGTGTGCTGGAAGCCAAGGTGGGAACCTATGGCTTCCCTTACCTTGTAATGAGTGGGTTTGAGCTGGTCCTTCCCAAGCACAATAAATAAATGTCACTTTGCATGGGAGAGGAGAGAAGAAAAATGCAGCTTCCTAGGCCATTCAGAAGAGCAGTTTTCTTTATTAAATAAGTTTGAAAGTCATAGGGGCCTTTTTAGATGAGGACCGAGGAAAGAGCTTTCTCTGGTCAAACAGAGCTGGTTGGCAGACTCTAGTGGCTGGGGACCTGGGTCTGAGGACACACAGACCAGGGCTGAATCCTGGTCCTCTCACTCATTAATACTGGAACCCCGCAAGTGGTCTGGACACTCCCAGCTGTTACCACATCTGTAAAATAGGAGGTGATCCTAGTGCTACCTCCTAGGTTTCTTTTGAAGATTAACTGGGATAGTGCCCCCCACAGCACCCAGCACAGACAGGCCTCTGGGACACTGAGGGGTCGGTAAGCGCATGGCTGGCCATTAATATTCTCATCAGCGATGGGAATGGTTCCGTCAGTGCTCCCGAGTAGCTGATTCAAACGAGAAGCGTCTTCACAAGGCGGTAGGAATCGCCTTGTTTCTCTGTAACCTGGAAGGATTTAGATGATCTGCCATGATAGACGTGAATATATTTTCTGTCTCTCTCTGACTTTGTCCCTATTGCCTGTTTCTGTCTGTCTCTTCCTCCGAATGCTTGTCTGTCCCTGGTTCCCTCTGTGTCTCATCATCGCATTGCTTCTGCACATGTGGGACACTGCATTTGGGTTGTTTATTTATCCAGGCGGGCTTTGAGGTTATGGAATATTTTTAAACAACCAACAGCTGGGGCCGGAGAGCCACCTCTTCTCGCTCAGATCCTCATATCCCTCAAATCATTAAAGCGAGAGAAACTGAAGGGGCTGAAGAGGCAAAACATGGGCCTGTGAGACGCTCTCAGGCTCGCTATGTGTGTTGTAAAGCCCCAGGTGTGTGCTGCCTTCGTTTTTTCTGACAGGGTGGGCCCTATGAGGGATGTCTGTCCTCTGGTGGGCCCTAGTCCAGCCTCAGAATGGCCAGCAGCTTTTACTGGAATTGGGTATTTTTAGTACAGCCTAAACCTATAATAAGAATGGATTTACATGAACTAGATTTAATCACACACTGTGACCAAACTAATAAGAAAGTTTGCTAGACAGTGAGATGAAGCAATGCAACCATTTACGACTGAGATACGTAGGAGTCCACCTGACTCTGGCCAGACTCAGGCAGCTTAGTCTCGAGGCTGAGAGGTGGCCTCTGGAGGCAGCTGCTACCTGGGTCCCAACCCTGCTGTCCTGTCTGAGCAAGGGGACTGTCTCTGCACCTGTGATGCCACATCTGGAGGGGCTGTGAGGACAAAGGAAGTAGCACATGGAGCTCTCAGGCCGTGCCAGCACCCAGGGGCATCAAGCAGCACCAGCCTCCTCCCCCATTCAGGGTGTGCCCTGTTCCCTTGTCTTCTGTCCTTTCTGGTATGGGTGCCACAAGGAGCCTCCAGGTACCCTCTGCAGGGACTCCACGTCCAGTTGCTTGTATTTCTGGCAGGGCTTTTCACCCTCTTTTAATTAGCTAGGCATGGTGGCGCATGCGTGTAAGCCCCGCTACTTGGGAGGCTGAGGCAGGAGAATCACTTGAACTTGGGAGGCGGAGGTTGCAGTGAGCCAAGACAGCACCATTGCACTTCAGCCTTGGCAACAAGAGTGAAACTAT